TAAAACAATTTTTTGTAACCCTAAACATGACATGAAACACATTCAGGACACGTAGCAATAGCAGCCTATTCCAGCCCCTGCCGTTCTGAGATTCTGTAAATGTGTGTGATTTACTGGAAACGGGATATCCAGAACATCCAGTCCGCTGTCTGTGAGACTTTGTGACTTACTGAAATGGGCAGTGCCTGTGCTGCTTGAGCCACCCCTCCCAGCTGAAACAAATGATTTCCAGGAAACTCAGCTCCAAGTCTGAATCATAAACTTGGTTCTCGACTTGTCCAGTCCCAAAATAACTCCAGAAGGTGCTGTGTCCCCCACACTAGCACCCTGCCTGGATTTGAGCAGCCTAAAGGCAGGAGCGGGCGGTCTGCCACCTCCTGCTACGTCCCTGGGTTTGCTGCCACAAATGTCATGCTGACAGCGTCCATGGCTTTAGCAAGTTTTCCAGCTGCTCTGTATTTTAGCCTGTATTGTTGCAGACTTGCATGCAGTTTGCTTTTCATGTTTTTTTCTCCCTTGGGTCCATTTTCTGCTTCTGGAGCGATGCTGCTGTTTCCTTCTCAGTGCCTTCCTGGAATTTCTCCAGCTTTTTCAGTTCCCTTGCAGCCTTTTTGAGAAGAATGTCTTTACTGCTGTGGTGTCCTTTGGTCTGTGCAGCCTTTTACCTACTTTAGAGGAACCTAAGAATAGTGAAAGAGGGTGGCAGAGGAACCGCAGGAGTCTGCTCTCACCCCAAAGCATGGGCACCTCAGAGGTGGGGCAGCCTTACTGCATGTATCCTCCTAACTTTATTATTGCCTTCATGTCAACATTTCCCCAGGGCTCCCTGGAGGCTGTACAGCAGTCCTGGGGCTGCTTCAGCGAGGCAGCAGCGCTGACCATGGTTTGAGCCATCTGCAAACCCTGCAGGCAGCCATGGTGCTGGTGAGAAATACGGCGGGCATAGGCTGGCAGAGCTGTTTGCAAGGCCAGTCCCTATATCAGGGCACCCAGCAAGGCTGCAATGCATCCAGCATCTCAGTTTTGGAGCGGCAGGTGATAGGACATGGTGTGCCAGGGGTGCCTGGGGGGAGGCTGTGGCTGAGTATGCTTCCCCATGGGCGTTGGGCATTCATCAGCACTAGGTTTTAGCCAGCTGCAAGACCTGCTCGCAGTGCTTTGCACACTGCTCGTGTCTGCTCTGCCTCTCTGAGCCACTAACCTGGTGCTATTTGCCTCCTTCCAGCTCAGGTTCATCGGCATGGCAAAGGTGAGCAGCGGGATCCCCTGCAGCCCCTCTGTAGACCTCCCTCTGGGAGGAAAACCAGCTGTTGCTGCTGCATGGTAAGCCTTAGTTGTGGTCAGTCACGTACCATGACTGCCTTCAGAGGCATAAGGAGCTGGAGGAGGCACCTTGCAATCACAGACAGCGTATCGCTGCTGCCATGTCTGTGTTGCAGAGGTGCTCACAGGTAGTGTATTGGTTAAAAAAAGAAAAATTAGTTTATTGGGATCTTGGCATCAGGTAATCCTCATGTAGGGATCAGTTGGTCACTGTCTGGATGGAGAGGGAGTCTTTGTTGCAGAGGTCCCTGCAGCAGGACCACCAGCGGGGTCAGGTGAGACCCCCGCAACCTGCTCCCTGTTCAGCTCTTGTCTGGCTGTTGTCCATGCTCCAGTGCATGTGTGATCCATCACTACTACTTATCTCAGCTACATGGGAAACAGCACTTAGATGTCTTAACCACATGCAGAAGACTGTCCTACGTGACCATTTCTGCAAGGACTGTTCCTGTCGACTGTTTACAAATGTCTCAACACTGAACATCTCAGTGCCCAGCATTTGTCTCAATGCAGCCATTGTCACGCCTAAGCAGATGGAGCCAGGGAGTCACCCAGAAACTCCACGGCCGGTTGGTCTGGATGTGTGCACAGGCAGTGTGGTCATGACAGAAGAATGAATTGGATTTTAAAGCCTATAACTTCATTTCTAAATGAAGTCCCGTAGCTCCTGCCCCCTGTGCCGTGTCTGCCTGGTCATCATTCCCACCAGCCCCCCAGCTGGGACTGCACACCCTGCTCTGCTTCTCTGCCTCTCTCCTTGGCACAGCTCTGGCTGCAGCCTTGCCGAACATGGACCGTCGTCCTGGCAGGATGGAGGAGCTCCTCAGCCAGGTTCCCAGTCCCTCCTGGGCTGCCTCTCCAACCCACAGCCGAGCTCACAGAACTTGGCAGTATATCCCTTTGGGTGGAAGGTGGACCTGGGACTTGTCCAGCTTCCCTTCTGCAGCTCCTGGGGGTGCCCACTCCTGCCACCCTGCCCATACTCAGGCTGTGCCTCAGCACCAGCGTCGAGTCCCCTCCGCTCCAGTGTGTGCTGACCAGGTGCTGGATCAATGTCCAGGGCTCCAACATGACCATCAGGGCCATGAATGGAAAAGGTGACCTTGCCAGCTCCTACCACATGGCTGTGACAGCCACCACAAACAAGATCCAGGTGTCACTGCTGCAGGGGTCCCAGCACTGCACGAACCAGAAGAGCCAGCCCACCTTTGGCTTCATTGTCACCTGGAGCTTTTCAGGCGCTTCTCCTTTCCCAGCCTCCCTGCGGTGTCCCCAGAGCTCCCCAGCCCTTCTTGTGGTGTCCCCAGTGCTCCTCCATCCCCAACACCAGAGCTGTGTGGCTGGTGCCACCTCCCAGTCCCCACCTCTGGCTCTTGTCCAGGCAGGTCCTGCCCAGGACGAGGTGAGGCACAGTTGGATGCAGGTTCAGCTGGGCTCATCCCTCCACGCCCTGCATTTCCCATGCTAGTCCAGTGCCATGTCCCTGGTCCCAGCAGTACAGGAGGCTGGGGAGGGAAACATCACCCACCCGCAAGCAGCCTTTCCCACTCCCAAACTGGCAAACTGGCTGCCTAGCAGAGGGAAACCCCCATCCCAGCACCCTCTCCCACCTCCCACCCCCCTACCCCACAGTCTCCACCACCACCTCCGTGAGCCAGGCTTTGTGGACGAGGACAGGAAGGAAATACTGAGGACTGCATGGATCATGCAAGATGAGGTTGACAGCTTCGAGGATGACTGGAAAGTCAGTGGGTGAATCCCAGGCAGACCAGGGCCGTAGGGCACTTCTCCATCCCTGCTCCATGCTGGGGCTGCACTCACGGGTGTAGCATGGAGACCTCGAGGAGACCACTGAGCCCTGGAGGTGGGTGCCAGTGCTGGGAGTCAGCTGGGCAGCAAGCAAGGGACAGTTGTGCTAGGGCCCCATGGGCTTCTGAAGCAAGTCCCTGGAATGGGAGCTGAAGGCAGCTACTACCATTTTCTAATTAAAAAACAAAGTGCAATCTGCACATGGGCATGACCACATCCTGCTCCCCAGAAACAGGAGAGTGGCCCTCCTGGTGTCTTCCAGCCTGGGGCAGATGTGTCTCCAGAGGATGCTCAAAGCAGATGCTCATCCCCTATGCAGGGCAGGGGCCAGAGAGATCCCCCCTGAACTGGACAGAGCCAGGTGCCAGCTCTGTCTTCCCCCACAGCATCGGCAGCGACATGTTTACCTGCCCATCACCTTTTGGACGAGGTGGCTGTGCCATGCCCCTGTGCAAGAGTCAGGCGGTCCAAGGACCCCTTCCCACCCGCCCGTCCTTGGTACAGTGTTGTACCATTAGGGACCCCTTGGGAGGGCTCAGACAGGGCTCTGCCACAGAGCTGTACCCTGCCTGGCCTCAAAGCACCATGCATGGGGCATCGCCACGCGTGGGGTCTGTGCACGGGAGCACCATGCGTAGGGCCTCCCCTCTCATGGGGACAAGCTAATTTTAGTATCTACATATCCTTCAGGAAAGCCCTTGTGCACTGAAAAGGGGGATTAATTCCAGGGTGCCTAAGAGCTCCCGCTGCAGTGACAGTCACAGCTCCCAGACTCAGGGAAAGCCCACCACAGCCAGGAGAAAAAACAGCTTAGAAACAGCAGCAGAAATTTGTAATGCAGGAGAGGACTGCCACAAGGCTGAACTCCCATGGGCAGACACATGAGCCTTCAGTGCAGCAGAGAAGAGCTGTTTGGGCTGTGCTCGCTGCAGCGCTGTTTGGGTGGCAGCACTGGGATGGTGGCAGTGGGGCAGTGCCAGGCTGTGCCCATCCCAAGGACTCCACCATGGAGCAAGAAATGGGCTGGCAGAATCTCTTGGATAGTAGATGTGCAAACCATCCCTGCGCCCCCACCTCCCTCCGCAGCCATGCTGATCCCCATGTTCCTCCTGCACTGCCCAGGTCATGCTGACCTCCTCACTTCGCCTGTCCCCGGCACCCAGCCACCCGGCCACTGGCCCCACTGCCAACCCCGTGCCTGCGGAGCTCCGGTTACAGCCCTATAAAGGGAATCGGGGCGGAGGGCCCAGAGGGAGCTGTGCCAGGCCCTGCGCAGCCCTGCGGCCATGGGGAGCGGTGCTTTCAGTCTGGTCCTTGCACTGGCCCTGGCAGCATGTGCCGTCCCTGCAGAGAGGAAGGTATGGGGACTGGTGGTGATGGGGACGTGGCAGACATGGCACTGGGGTGCAGTGTGGCGGCAGGGGGGTCCTCTCTTAAATGTCGTTTTAGGCTGGGACAAGCAGGGGAGCTTTGCAAGCACCTGGTCCAGACAACGGGCAGGGTATCTCTGGGTCACCCCCAGCCACCCGGTCACCATCTCCACAAGGCTTTGCTCCCACAGGGGCACCACGCAGGGGGCATCTCTTCTGCAGGGTCTGTGCCCAGGGTTGCCTTGCTTGGGGCATCCCTTCCCACAGCGTCTCTGCGTGGGGATACTGTGGACAGGGTGTCCCCTCCCATGGGATCTGTGCCCAGGACACCCTGCATGGGGCACCCCTTCCCAAATGGTCACCATGCACACTGCTGGGCTGGGACATGCTGGCCAAGCTGCACCATCGGCTCAGCAGCTGGCAGCACCTGGGGGAACATTTCCCCAAACTGAAGGAGAGCTGTGCCCCGCAGTCGCATCAACAGCAGAGCTCACGGCTCCAGCTGTGGGGCAGTGGGAGGGATGGGGTCCCCCTCTGCACTGTGCGTGGGGGCAGAGCGCCCGTGGCGGTGTCCCTACAGTGCCAGCTCAACGGGCTCTGGAGGAATGAGCAGGACTCACTGATGGAGATTTCGGTGGTGAGGGACAACGGGGACTTCCAGGGGAAATACCTCACACGGGTCACTCTTGCTGGCGGCTGCGCCCGTGCCTCCCCCCTGAAGGGCGCCCAGCAGCAGCCGGGTGAGGGGGGCTGGCCCACGTTTGCCTTCACCGTGCGCTGGGACAAGTTCTCCAGTAAGTGCTGGGACACTCAGGTGGTACCATGGGGGCACTGGGAGCCACACAGGTAGCCAGCAGGATTTTTCCTCTGCTGGAAAGTCTGCTGTGTGATACTTTGGTGCAGCTAAGCAGAGGGAGGCAGCGGTGCCTGCCCAGCGTGGGGCTAATGAACAATACTGGATTTGAATGGGGCAGCCCCTCCTCACCCAGCATCTTTGCACCCATCCCTGCTGGGCAGCCCAAGGTGCCTGTGGTGTGTCTGGACCCCCTTAGTGCATTGGAGATGCGGTGCTGCAGACCTTGGCTCACCTGAGGGAGCCGCTGGGGAAGGGCAGGTCCCTCCAGCATGGCTTGGGTGGGTGCATGACCATCGGAGTGGAAACATGGCTGTGGCTGGGTGGATCTCATGGAAGGGGAAGCAGCCAGCGAGCATGGGTGCTGTCTCCACCAATGCCCCAAGCAAGCGCTTTCCCCAGATGCCACCACTGCCTTCACGGGGCAGTGCTTCGTGGACACGAGTGGGAAGGAGACGCTGACCACCATGTGGCTGCTACGTGAAGCTGTCGGGTCCCTCAAGGAGGACTGGAAAGCCACAAGGTAGTGGGGGGATTTGGGAGCGGTGGTGCACTCTGCCCAAGTGAAGGGGCACTCTTCAGGGCCCCTTAGGACAAGCATCCCTCTGGGTGAGGGGACCACTGCTGGGAACCCCCCAGCACAAGTTTGCAGTGGCGATGCCAATGCCTCCTGGTTAGGGGCTTGCTCTGGCCAGGGGCATCCAGCAGCTGCTTGGGGCAAGGTGGGGGGCATTTAGGGACACCTCTGAGTGCATTTCATCTGTGAGTAGTCTCACAGAAACTCTGCTTCCTGCAGGGTGGGCAGAAACGTCTTCACGCGCAAACGCACCCAGAAAGAAAACATCCTGTCAAGCTTGTCCCCGTCCTGTGAGGAAGAAGCTTCACCTGCCCCATGACAGCATGCTCCAGCTGCAGCCTGGATCCCCAGAGCAAGCAAAACCAGTCTCTCATGTAAAAAAAAAAAAAAAAAAAAAATTAAAAATCATGTCAGCTGTGGTAATTTTTTTAAAAAACTGCAGTCACTCTCCCTCTGAGGCAGCTTATGTCCCCATGGGTAGCCCTGCAGAGTCAAGGGCTCACCACTGCCCTTCCCTGGGGACATCTGGATGCCCTCCAATACCCCTCATCCAGCTCCCTGGACCCGTTTCCCACCTCATTCTAGCCCAAACTTCCACCCTGCTCCATCACTCCCCTCCTGCCTGCTGGTGGCAGACGTGGCATCAACATCCTGAATCCATTGCCTTCCTCACAGTGCCTTCATACCCATCCCCGCCAGGTGCCTTTCCAGCCCCAGGACTCCCCATGGTTGGGTGATGGAGGTAACGGTATCAGTAGATGTGAGATGTTGGTAAAGCGCTTCCTTCGTGCTGCACGGTACCTGAAGTAAAACGTGCAGTTAAAAACCCCATCCCATTATATCCCATCCCACCCCCCTGGCTTACAACCAGGAATATTACCCTGCCCTGCCACTGCATTTCAGCAGTGTCACTCTATCTGCTTCTGTGGACACCTGCCAAGCTTAGTCAGCTCTTTTGATGCAGTTTTTGGCAGGTCCATGGGTGAAGACAAACCATCTTGCAGAAGCGTTACAAATATAACCCAGCCCTGGGGATGCCAGCGCACTTGCCATATAGTCTGTCAAGCCTGGCCCAGCTCCAGCAGGGCTGGTGCACGCTGCCGTGACGTGGAGAGGTGGTTGCCACCTCCCTGGCACCTCAAACAGGGCGGTTTGTCCCTGCCAAACAGCACAGAAAGGCAGGGGCTGGTGTCAGGCTGAAAAGATGGAGCGTGGCATCCAGGGCAAGAGATCCCCTGGGGGGGGGGGATTTCTCAGGCCCCTATGATGAATTTGGGACTGTAAAAGGCGACAAGGAGGAGCGATGTGTTAGGAGAGGGGTGGCTTCTACTCACCCAAGCCTTTGGGGCTGTCTGGACCAGAGACAGAGGCACTGAGCAGCAGCAGCAGCAGCCGCAGCAGCAGGGGGGTCCCGGGGTGTGCAGGGGCCCATGGCTGGCATTGAGCAGTGCAGCCCCAGAGTGAGACTCCGCCACCCCCAGTACACACACTGCAGCCCTGCTGCCATCCAGTGCCCCAGGCGCTGCTGTCCTGGGGACGGCGTGTGTTCATGCAGCTGAATCCCACCTTAGTTATCAGTTGCCCACAGACCCATGCCTGCTCCAGGTACTGCGCTGAGCAGAGAAGCAGCTCAGGAATGCAGAAGCTGTGCATGCTCTGTTTTGTACATCCAAAGCCCTTAACAGCAGCAAATATAAGGAAGAGGTGCAAATACAAAGCCGGTTAGCATGCTGGGTGTGTTTAGCAAACATACGTGCTTGGACCCTGGTGCACCGCTGTGGCTACTTCTTCCTCTAAATCTTGTAAAAGCAAAAGCAGCAAAATTAACAGCTGATATCCAGAAGATGCTGGGGAAATGTTATTGGTGCTAAAGCAGAAGGCAGGGTGAGCCTTTCCACCTGTGCAGCGCTGTGGCTGCGGCACCTCTCCTCTGCCAGGGATGCCCTGGCACCACATGGGTGACATGCTGGCCAGGCAACGGCACCAGCAAAGCAGGGAGCGGTTAAGTGTTTAAACGGGTAATAATTTCCAGCCTGCACACACAGAAGGCAGGTTCCCAAGCAAGGTAGTTGATGCTTTCCAGGCTGCTACAAGGACCTCAAAAAAAGCCAGCGCCCCTGCCTCTCTGCACAGCTGTGCTCGGCCCCACATTCCTCCTGTGCTGCCCAGGTCATGCCGACCTCCTCGCCTCACCTGTCCTGTCCCAGGCGCCTTGCCACCCAACCACCCGTCCGGTGGCTGCCAACCCAACACCCGCAGTGCCCATGGAGCTCCGGTTACAGCCCTATAAAGGGGGTTGGGTCGTGAGGCCATGAGGGAGCTGTACTGGGCACTTCGCAGCCCCGTGGCCATGGGGAGCGGCGCTTTCACCCTGGTCCTCACCCTGGCCCTGGCAGCATGTGTCGCCTCTGCAGAGAGGAAGGTATGGGGACAGGTGGCACCCTGCGAGACCCCAAAGGCTGGGACTGGGGGCTGTGGTGCTCACCAGGGAGCTGGTGCTGGGATGCTGGTGGGACCAGCACTATGCAGTGCTGGGGGAAGCCGTGGAGGGAGGGACCTGCTCCTGCAAGGATGCTCCTCGCTGTGGGAATCCATCCAGAGACAGGCAAACAGAGACATGCCCCAGAGAAACCCCATTTCCCACCAAGCGTGCAGGGAAAGCAGTGCACCCTCTGCGTTAGCACACGGAGGACAGTCTCTCCTGGGTGGCAGCAGCAAACAGCCCAGAGCAGCAGCTGGTCTGAAGGCAATTCATGCTGCGGGTGCAATGCCCATGTCAAGGTGGTATGCCGCTGGCACTAGTTTCACACGGGGTCCCACAGTGCTGCAGCCATCCCTGGGCAGAGCCAGGGTGGTGAGGTGGGAGCAGGACGGCCTCCCTTGCCTGTCTGAGCTCCCCAAGCCACAGTGCTGGCCTTGCAGTGCCTCCTCTCTGGGTCCTGGCGGAGTGACACTGGCTGCCGGATGGTTGTGTCCGTCCTCGGCGAGGATGGCAGCTTCTCTGGTTCCTACCTGCCGGGGTCGGCAGCCAGCAACCCCGAAATCCTCACCTCACCGCTGCAGGGGTTCCAGCAGGATGCAGCATTGGTCCAGCAGCCCACCTTCTCCTTCACCGTGCGCTGGCGGCTCCGAGGTAGGCAGGAGGGGGCCATTGCCCTGCAGCAGGGATGCCAGTGGGACCCAGGAGGGTGGCTTTGTGCCTTGCCACCCAGACTCACACCACCTTGGACCCCTCCAGACTCGGAGACAGCTCGGACAACTGCCTTCCTGGGCCAGTGCTACGTGGGCACCAACGGGGAGGAGACCCTGCATGCCCTGTGTGGCGGCTGACAGCCCTGCCGAGGACTGGAAAGCTACCCGGTGAGCACAAGGTCCTGGCCACCACTGCACCAAGCTTTCCTGCACCCCAGGGCTGCAGAAGGGAGAAATCCTATGGGATGAGGCAAGGCAGGACCGGGAGGGTGAACTGGGTTTATCACCAGTGACAAGCATCCCCATGACGTGGCCAGCCCCTGCATGCTGGGTGTGCCCCAGGGTGGGTGACCCCAGGCCAGACCCCCCTGGAACTCCTTGCACTCTCCCCGTCAGGAAGAGAGCAGGACACAATGCCAACACTTGGTGCAGCCTCCACTACAGGGTGTTGGAGCCCAGGGCATCCCCCTCAGCACGCAGTGAGGCAGTGGGGAACACAGTGCACCCCCTCGTGCTTCCCCTCTGTACCCTCCACAGCATAGATGACCACAGCTGGGTGAATGAGAGTTTGGGTTTTCCTGCAGGATTGGCACCAGCACTTTCACCCGGATAAAATAACACCAAGCTGGGAAATCCAGGAGGCCCAGGATTACAAGGACATGGTGTTTCCGCTGGACAGGCTCTTCCCGTGCTGACATGCTGCATTTTGGTCCATGGATTCAGGCTTTTCCAGGAAAGTTCAGCCTAGTGTGAAGGCTGGGTACCAGGTGAAAAATAAAGGGTTTCTGTGGGGATGCAGAGGTTGGCTCTGGTTTCTGCCCTGCCTCAAACCTGCCGGGTTTGTCTTGCCCTGCAGCCTCCCATGGGAAGGCTTCATGCATCATGGCCAGGGTCAGCAGGTTCCCTGGGAATAGCTGTCCTATGTCCCCTCCCTAGCAGCGTGCATCAGCGCTTCGCCTGCAAACCTACCACTGTGCTGTGGGTAACTTGTCCCTCAGGGTCACTCCCAAATGTCCCCGGGGGTGCAAAGCAAAGCAGGCTGCATCCAGGCCAGCCTCAGTGGGACGCCATGGGCAGCACGTCCCAGGGCTGCAGGGCAGGCTCCATGCAGAGCCTTCCCCGTGAGAGCAGAGGAGAGGAAGCTTCTCGGGCGCCCAAATGCACAGGGTGGCTGCAAATGGCTTTTGCAGAGCCGGCAGCCTCCCGT